CTTGGGGACACGAAGGATCGCGGAGGAGGGTCCGACCTCAACTGCTGCTCCAGCTGCACCAACACCTGGATGGATCCAGAGCCCTTTTCCCATTTTATCCCTCATCCCAAGGTTTCCCTGCAGTTTCCCTCCTCGGTTGGGATTCATTCCCGGTTTGGAGCTGCCAGAGGCTGTTTCCTGGGGGTTAAACAACCCCAAGCCTTCCAGTCTCATCCTCCCCGGAGTCTCTGTTCCCCCAGACACCTCATCCCTCTTCCCTGAATTTCCTCCAGCTCCTGGGCCAGTTCCCTCCCCTCCAGTTCTTCGGGAAGTTGCCCAAAATTACCCATCTGGGGCAGGTCCCCCCATCTCCAGGTTGGGATGGATGTGGAAGAGGCAGGAAGGAGGGAATAATCCTCTCAAAATCCCATCCCTCAGGAGCCAGCTGGGAGTTCTCCAGGTCTCCCCGGGATATCCCTGTGGGATTTCCTGTGCTCAGGACACGAGGGAGACGATCCCAGCTGACGAGATTTGGGGATTTCTGGGATTTCTGGAGCTGGAGCTGAAGGAAATCTCCGCTGTCCCGTGACAAGGTGGGTGTTTTTAGGCCTTGTGCTGGCAGAGAAAACCTGGGAATTTCAAATCCTCCATTATTCAACCAGTGAGAAAATAAATAAATATCTAAAAGCAGCCCAACATTATATTATTATTATTATTGGTATTATTATTGTTGTTATTTCTATTTTCTTATCCTCAGTTGCATAACTCCTAAATAAAGGAATGACCTGGAGGGCTCGGACTCCAATTGTTCACATTCCCTGGAGGGACAAAGGAGGGTCCAACATCTTCCCAACATTCCAGCCCTGAAGGGAGAGACCTCCAACCCCCCCAGTGCCCTTCGTGCCCCCCTTCGGAGCCCCAAATCCCGGGATGGGCCCATCCCACCCCTCGGAGGTGACTCATCCCAACAGGTGCCAATTGTCCTCTGTTCTCCTCGGGGGAGGACAATGAATCCAGGCTTTGTTTTCCATGGACATTGCAAGCAGCTGCCTCTTCCCACCGTGTTTTCCTTGGCAAAGGACACGGGGATTGTGAAGCTCCTGCTTGTCCTGGGGGTTATTTTTTCCCCGTTTTCCACCAAATCTGATTTGCCTTTGTTTGCCTCGGGCAGAGGAACAACCTCAGATCTGCTCCAAAGGGGGATAAAGAAGTTTCTGCCTCCTCCATCCACTCCAAGTGCCCTGGATCCATGTTTTTCATAAGCATGGGATGATGTTTTTCCAGGGAAAACCTTCGAGAGGTCCCGACATGGAGGTAGGAGAGCAGAGGAATTTTTCTTTCACGCTGTTCTGAGGATAAAGAGGGAGAAAGGGCTTGGATTTGGGAAAGCCTGGAACTCCCACTCCTCCCAGGACGGCAGGGTTTGGAGAGCTCTGGATGCAAAGTGATGGAAAAGCTGAAGGGAAAAAGGAGGAGGAAAGAGCAGAGAAAGGGGGAAAACAAAGGGAAGGGAAAGGGAAGAGCCTCGAGTTGTGCCTTTTCCAACCCAAAGCATTCCAGGATTCCAGCAAATCCCCCCACGGCAACTCAGCCTTTCCCAAAGGGAAATTCCAGGGCCTGATCCAGCTCTCCTGGTTATCTGGGGAGTCTGGGATGGGAATGGGAAGAGCAGGTGGGCCAAGGGAAGCTCCTTTTCCTGCTGGAAGTGGATCCCCAGTGGAGCCAAACCCACGGAATTTCCACCCCCCCTTCCTGGGGGTCTCCGACCAAATCCCCCCCAACCGGCCCCAGGGCCGGGCTTGGGAAGCCCAGCCGGTGATCCCAGAATTCCAGAGCCAAGGGAGCAGCCTTGGGACTCATCACAACCCTCCCTGTGGCTGCACATTCCAGGGGGGACATTCCAGCGGCAGCAAATCCAGGCCTGGGAGAGCTTGGAGGGGTCAGAGCTCGAGTGGAGGTTGGAATGAGCCGTGTCTCCCAAAGCCGGGCTCGTTTCCACCCGAATCCCGGGATTTGGGGGCCAGGAGGTCGCAGTGATCTTCCGTAGGGATCATCCCACGGGGTCAGGTTTGCTCCAGGAGCGTCCCCTCCCGTCCCTGGGAATGGGCAGGAGCATCCACAGGGATTGGAGCGACAAACCCGGCTCCAAAGGGCTCCCAAAGCATTCCATGGATCCACCCCAGCCCCCTTTTCCTGCAGCACCTCCCTCCCCTCCAACCGCTCCCAAAATTCCAGCTGGAAACCTCTCCTAAAATTCCAGGGGGAAACTTCTCCCGAAATTCCAG